ACTCTGTCTCTCTCTCTCTCTCTCTCTCAAAATAAATAAACATAAAATTTTTTTATCTAGTATTTTTTATCTAGTATCTAGATTCACACGTTTCAGTATAGGTTTTTAGTTGAGGCTCACCCTCATGCCCAATGCCATGATCCCCAAGAGGCATACACAGGCAACGAAGCATGGATCCCACTCATGAGCTCTGATCAAAGGTTCTACCATCCACTGGTGGTACCAGAATTGCATGGTAGTGAGGAAGCCTTGGGTTCTTTTATCTGTCTGGTTGGCTGTTACTAAAAATCTTAATTCCAGTCTAAATTCACATGGATTCTTGAATACTTATAAAAAGAAGAAGAAAATAAAATTTTGGCTTATATATATATGCACATACATACACACACACACACACACATACATACATATCTTATATTTTTGCAACTATCTATAAAAAGCCAGTCATCCATCTACATTTGAGTCTAAAATAAAAATCGTAATTTACATTTGGTCATTAAATGAAGCTCTGGGCGTGAAACAGAATTACTATATTGGATTCTTCTCTCTTATTCATGGACTCCATCCTTCAGGAAAGGCTACTTCTGTGAGCTTTCGGGTTTAATCTGTTCTTATTACTGAGGATATGAAAGAAGATGCTTGGAAAAGTCTCAGAGAGGTTTTATCCCCATGCAGACGCTAGGACAAGGACCTGGTTATAATCATGCAGTTTTGGGACTTGGTTGTAGGTAGCAAAGTGAGGGAGTGGACCAGGGAGGGAGGTCAGCTATTGGAAGGGGCCACTGGTGGCATTTGGGGCTCAACTCTGCTGGAGATCCTCAGAGGGAAGCATGGATCATGCTCAGATCTTCCCACTCACTGAGGGCTGCAGGTATAGAAGCTGGAGTATTTATCCATCAGTTATTTCCTTACTGGTTGAGACACAAGAAATGTAAGAAACCGTAAGCTGCACATGGCCTCCAGGGAAGGCAGAGGAAACATGGACAGGACAGCACTGGCTGAGAAGTGTGGCTAGAAGCAGGTATAAATGGTGGGAAAGTCTACGGATTGTTTTAAATTCTATGCAGAAGACTATACAGAATTCACACGCATGCTGGTAACCAGCGTAAGATGGTAGAGCAGAACTCTACAAATTGAGCATTGTGACGTCGTAAGTTTTATTTTTTTCATAGCTCTCCAGTCCTCCAGCGCCCATCAGAAAGACTACAAACTTGGTTCTAATCTAATTAAGCCAATCTCCAGACATCTCTGTGGACACACAGATTCTACTGTGATTTCTTAAAAGATAGCCTAAGTCCAGATTTATAATCCATTAATTTTTTTTCTCTCTGTTTGAGAGAAAGAGAGCACAGCAGAGTAGAGGCAGAGAGAAGGAGAGACAGAATCCCAAGCAGGCTCCATGCTGTCATCACGGAGCCCGATGTGGGACTTGAACTCACAAACCTTTTGATTGTGACCTGAGCTGAGATTAAGAGTTGGACGCTTAACTGACTGAGCCACCCAGGTGCCCCGATTTGTAATCTGTTACATTGTACACGCTAACATTCCTACTAATGTTTTAAGAGTTAACAAATTTATAGTCCATGTCTGCTTGCTGTGATCATGACAGAGATTTGATGGGATCTTAGAGCAACGTGCCTCCCTTTACTTTCACCCAGGGATGCTCTGTTCATGCCTTGAGAGTATGAGCAGACAGACCTCCTGATTATTGCTGATGGCCATTTCACTTGTCCCTCACTGGCTTTCCCCTATTTGTTGAAATAGATTTTTAATATAACAACTCCTTTGTGAGTATCTGTTTTCATGTCATTAATAGCTTCTTGGGATTCTGAGTTCCAAATGGCTCCATTTTCTGTGGGGCTACCTGTTTCTTTACTAAACCAAAACATTACGTGATTTTTTATTTCATGATTGAATTCAATATTTTCCAACCTTCTGGTGGAAAGGTTCTCTCCTTCAAAAATACATAAACATTAAAAACATTTTTTTAAATAAAAATCCAATCTGGTAGCATTGGTCAAGTAATTGGACTATTTAGTTCATTTTTTTAAATTTTTTAAAAGTTTTATTTATTTCTAGGAGAGAGAGAGAGAGACAGTGTGAGCAGGGGAGGGTCAGAGAGAGAGGGAGTCACAGACTCTGGAATATTTAGTTCATTTACATTTTTTTAAACAAAAGAACAAATCTACACCTTCATTTATTTACTTCTCAGTTAGTTTAAATCCTTGGGGGGTTCGGCATCACAATGGCTTTAGCAGCAAGCTTGCTTCGGAATTTGGCATGAGCCATGCCAGTGTTTCATGAGCACGAGTTCCTTTTTCCCAGGTTGCTCTGCTTTTGTTCAGTTTGCCACCAGGGGTCACTGTGTGCTCTGTATACATCAGCACATCTCTTGCCTAGATAGAGTTCAGGTTCATCTCAAGCATAAACACCTACTTTAAGAAGGGCTATGTGCTCCTTCTGGGGAGATCCCACTTAAAGCCAGCAAAAGTGGCTTTGGACCACAGCCTTCCAGACGTTTTTGTCTTTTCAGGAGTCCTGTTCCCAGCAGATTCCAAGATGGCAGGAAAAGTTAGTTCATTTACATTTAATGTAATTTCTGATTGAATAAGCTGACAGGAGCCATTTTGTGACTTATTTTCTGCTTTTAAGTTTTCTTTGATTCTTCATTATGACTTATTTTTAATTAATAGGAATTTCTTTCACATTTTTACTGTTAGCCTATCAGTCATACATTCTTTCCCTCTTTGTTGCTAATGTGGAAATTGCCTCCATTCTTGACTTCCTGTGGTTTAGTATAAACTACCTGTGTCATTTCCCATATAATCCTAGGACCTCAGAACATTTTAACTCCATTTACTGCCACTTCACTTTTAGTGTTCATGCCATTGTGTATTTCATACATGTGATATTTTAGACCAGCCAAGATATTATTCTCATTATTTTACACAATCAATATTACTTTATATTTTCCCTTTTGCATATATGGACATTTAACTTTTTAAAAACTTGATTTCTCTATTTTGTTAATTTAAATGGAAACATTGGGAAGAATTTAACAAAAGTAAGAACATAATTATTAAATAAAAAGTGCCTTTGTAATCTCTTAGTACTGATAAAATTCCCTTTGGCATGCTAGTACCAGCATGTATATTATGACAACTGTTAGCACCTTGCCCTCTACCTGCCTCTTTTTGCAAGGAGATTGGTAATAGTACTAATCAGATAGGGGTGTTGTTTTGACTCATTTGGTTCACATGAATCACAGGTCCTCCTGGACTATTAGTTTCCCTTCTATTTTCCCAGATCTCAGGCATGTGGCTTCCTTCGAACACCAGCCTGTTCCTCTAGCCTCATTGGTGGCAAGTCTGCTATGGGTGGGTTCCCTCCTGGATTGTAAACAATACAGTGTCGGGGATGTTGACTCAGTCTTCTTTGTGTCTACCATTAGTGCTTATCATGGGGCCTGGCATTTAATAGGCAATGATGGATGTTTTCTGACTGGGTGAATAGATTGATGAATGCCTGGACAAATGAGCAGCACTCAAGTTATGCCAGTTCCTGGTGAAGCACTGTACCAGGCACCGAGATCCCCACCATAGGTGCCCACTCGGTCTCCTGCTGGCTTTGCACCTGTGTTTGACTGGAGCAGGCTGGAGGTGGGCTGTAATGGGGGTCTTCTCATGTGCATCAGGATGTACATCCTGGCGTCTGTTCCTGCGGCGGATGTTCCCAGCAGCCACCAAAATGATGTGCCCTGGGGGATGGCCCAGAGAGGGACACCAGCCCTGTAAACCTGGGAGCAAAGCCCAGCTTCCCCTGGCCTCCCCCACTCCTCTCTCACCACTTTGTCCAAAAAATAATAATAATTAAGAAAGAAACAGAAAATGTACCAGATAGAAAAACTATTTCATTCAACAAATGTTTTTAAATCAACACCAGCTATCAGTGGCTAAATGCACAATACCTAAAGAATATGGCATTTTCTACATTAAATTAATGTTTCAAATAATTAAGGGTGAACATAAACTTTCAAAGAATGCTCTTCTGTAATACTTTCATTCAAGAGTATTGCATATTTTGCTTAAAGAGAATGGGGGAGAATGCCACTCTAAAAGAAGTACATATTAAAGTAAGTGTTGGGGCACCTGGGTGGCTCAGTTGGTTAAGCGTCCGACTTTGGCTCAGGTCATGATCTCACGGTTTGTGGGTTCGAGCCCCGTGTCGGGCTCTGTGCTGACGGCTGGCTCAGAGCCTGGAGCCTTCTTCAGATTCTGTGTCTCCCTCTCCCTCTGACCCTCCCCTACTCACACTGTCTCTCTCTCTCAGAAATAAATAAAACATTAAAAAAAAATTTTTAAATAAAATAAGTGTGATACCATATGCTATTTTTTACTGTCTTTAAAGACCAAAAACACAAGAAAAGCGCCTATTTTATCATTTCTTTGTGCTCCACCTGTAGTCTCTTATACGTGACATTTTACAGATGCTATTTCCTACTCCATCTTTATAGTAGTTTAGAATCGCTAACGGGTATTGAATGGTCATCACAGAGGAAACGAGATATTTGAAAATATTTGACTATCTCATTAATAGGAAATGTGAAATATTTGTTGAAATGCAATAAAGCTTGTCCTTTATCTCTCAAATGAACAGGCAGGCAAAAATGAGTGTTTTCTATCTTAGACTGACCGTTGGCTTGTGGCATTTTTATATCGTTTCTGCTTTACTACTTTAAAATCTAAGTAGATAAATAATATCTGTGGGGGAAATAACTTTGCCTTCCTCTTTTTCTCTACTCCAAAGAATGCATACTTAGCAATCAATAAGTAATAAATAATATAACACACGCTGACCTTAGGAACTTTGATTTTTCTTCAATATGTATTTCTACCATCCATGTTAACTTGTTGGACAGATGAGTGGTGATTTCCAGAATTGCTTGGATGGCCCCTTAATGATTTGAAATCTCTTGGTCTTCCTCCCATGCCTCATCTCAGGAGCGGCTCCTGCTCTCCCTGTTGCCGGCTCACATAGCCATGGAAATGAAAGCTGAGATCATCCAGAGGCTGCAGGGCCCCAAAGCCGGCCAAATGGAAAACACGAACAACTTTCACAACCTCTATGTCAAGCGACACACGAATGTGAGGTACGTATGCTGCTCTGATCCTGCTCCTCAGCGAGGCTGGGGGCCTGTCCGCCACACTGGGGATGTGGTTCACTGGGAGCCCAAGTCTTCCTGAGTCCTGTCTCCCCTGAAACTGTTAACATGGCGACCACCGCACCCTGCCTTCTGCTGCCTCCCAGGGCCTCCACGTGAAGAGAATTTTCTTCACTGTATCAAACCGCGTTGTCCGTCATGGCCCTGCTTTCTGTGGCTGACCTTCCTTCACAAAAGAGGGAGAGGTGGTCTCTCGGGTGCTTATTCTAGGAAGTCCATGGTCCGATCTCATAGCGTCCCCAGAGCCCAGCACACTCGGCACTGTAGTAAGACTGAAGGCAGGGTCATTGGGCTCTTGGTAGAAGAACTGATTCCTCCAGATGAGCTTGGCAGGGCCAGGGCCTCAGTGAATCTAGCACTTCCTGTCCGTCAGGAATGATGGGTTTCTGGGGTGTGGCCAACCAGTGACCCATATCACAGGGGACTGATAGGCACCTTAATGCATTGATAGTGAAAGTTCCTGCTTTCCAAGGCTGCCACAGTCCCGTCTGCTTCCCAGGGAGCCATTCCTGAAATCACAGTGCTTGAAAAACCAGCACGTTATCAGCATGGGACGGAAGTCCAGAAGGAGAACCGGGAGAGGCCTCCTTCTCCCTTAGCTCTGGAGAGGAACAGTGCGGACCCTCACTGGATTCAGCATGGGGTAGGGGTTTCCTTCCGTGCTCCCTGTCTCCCAGCTGCAGGACACAACCCTTCTAGATGCGGGGGCCCAGTCCCTCACTGATCTCTGACTCCCCCACTGCCTCTGTTCCTCATGCCACTCCTTTGGGGTTTATCCTTACCTCCATTCAGTTATGTCACAGTGGTGCTTTTTATTCTCACTAGGTCGTCTCTGTAGGTAACTTGTGCATCTGTTCTCATTCATTCTGCCTTGATATTAACCATCCACCCTGTTCGATAGTTTGAGAACAACAACCACAAACCCAACTACAATTTGCAGAGCAATTGACTAACTGGTCTTCTGCTCTCAAGCCCAGACTCTTTCCAGTGCAAGATCCTGCTTCCAGTCTAGCTGCTGCAAGTCAAGGATTTTTGAAGTTCATTATCAAGAAACAAACTTAACTGCAGTTGAAATACACTGCTAAGAAGAATCTCAGTTTGACCCCAGATTTTAGAATAGCCGTGTAGGGCTGGTGTTAAACGTGGCCCAAGCACGCACAGAACTAAATGTGTGATGAGAAATGCATCTTGGGATGGGAATCACAGAAAAAAGTTGCATGTCAGTAGGAACTAAGGAAGCATTGGATAAATGAAGAATCGGGGGTAAAAAAAAATTTTTTTAGTCCTTACCATTTTGAGAGATTAAAAAAAAATGTATTTCAAGAATATTCACACATGTTAAGGAGTAAGATTATTTAAAACACTGGCTTGCCTTCAAGTTTTTAAGTGTTTCACCTAAAGAATGAAAGAAGAAACATTCTCACGGTATCTGACGTGGTGTATTAACACTAGAAATTGCCTTTCCAGACATAGCTGTCCCCAGATCAGCAATATCTCTCTTATCTCGGGAAATATTTGTACATCATGGATGGAGAATTTAAAGCATATGGTGATAAATGCAGCTGTATCTAAACAGAAACCCAGAATATCTTTAAGTACGTGTGATACAATCCAGGAACAGAGAGACCTATAAAAATGAGTGACCATGTCACCAGCCTCAGGCAGTTGATGAAGGGTCCCATGCTGTCTGACGTAGTTAGCAACTTCTGTGTAACCAAGTTTCTCCAGACCTAGTGGCATAAAACAACAATAGACACCATCTCACAGTTTCTGTGTATGGGACTTCAAGAGCAACTTAGCCTGGTGGCTCTGGCTTACGCTCTTTCATGAGGATTCAGGCTCACCATCGGGCGGGTTGCTTGGGGCTCTGCCTCTCAGGTGACTCCTCAGATAATTTGCAGTTTATCCCAGCTGTTGGCTGGAGGCCTCAGTTCCTCATCCCTGGACCTGTTCACGGGTTGCTGGAGTGTTCTCACCACATGGAAACTCACTTCCCCAGAGTAAGGGATCCAAGAGAGAGAGTCAGAGCGGGGAGCTGCAATTCTTTTAAGATCTAGGCTTTGGAAGCCATTTCTCGAATGTCTTCAGCATCCTCTTGATGACACAGGTCACCCCTAGGCAGTGTGGGAGAGACAGTACAAGAATGTAAGTACCAGGAGGTGAGGCTCTCTGGCGCCATCTTGGAAGCTGACTAGCACACTGGTCGGTCGAGGCAAAGGAGTGCCGTTAGAGATTGTCTAGGACATGTTTGCAGTGTTGGGTTAAATTTAAATTTATAAAGTACAGTTGGGACACTAAAGTAACTAAATACCTAAACCTTAAAAATGTAAAAGCATACGTAAATGGCATGGAGTACCAATTATTTTTATAAGAAAAATGAAAACATATGACTTTTTCATCCAGGACAGGACAGACATAAGCAAAGAGGCAGACATGGTAAATGGATATTACATTGAGTCCAGGCAATACCTGAGGGTTTTTTAGGTTTGTTTTTTTTTAATGAGAATTATTTGGGTGTAGACAGCAAAGATTAGTTAACTTTTAGTTCTGCTTCAGCCATTCATTCAACAAAATGTTTATTCTCTGTTAGTAATACATACTAGCTCTTTACCCTCTAATGTGATGAGAATGTTTATAATAATGAGGAGGAGAGGAATTTTTAGATGTAAGGGTGGCAGCTATCAGTAGCTTCCCATCCTCAGTATGTGTGACACCTTCCACTACTGCTGCAAAATTCACAAACCCAACCCATCTTTGAAAATAAACATGGGTCCTGGCATCCAACACCACCGTCTAATCCCGAAAAACTATCACTTTATCCCTTTCATAGCCAAGATTCTAGAAGGATTTTTCCTTACTCTCTGACTAGTCTTCCTTGTTTTCTCTCCCTCCTCCAATACTCCCCTTCTGACTTCCAACTCCACCAGATCACAGAACCCATTCCTGCCAAACTCACCATCAACTGTCGTGTTCCCAGATCACAGTATGACTTAACTCCTGCGTCTTTATCTCTGACAGGTAAACATGGTTGTCCAGTTTACCTTGCCCTCCCACCTGAAGAACTTTCCCATGACTTAGATGTCATGACATTGTACTCTTTTTTTTTCCCCTACCATCTTCTTTGTGATTTTCTCTTCCCTAAAACTCATCTCTGTATAAGTGAGTATTTTCAGGGCTTTCTTCTAACTCCTCTATGTTCTATCCAATTCTTGCCTGGGACATAGATTATCATCTACATGTTGCTAAGATGCAGAACTCAACCACAGATTTCCCTACTCACTTACCTAATGGATGTTTTCCTCTTGGATGCTCCACCAACACCGCCATCAAACTCAACACAAGCCAAGTTGAACTAGTCATCTTCTCCTACAAGCTTGTTTTCATTTGCTCAGAGCTAGGTTTGTGCCGCACTGCTTAACCAGAAACTGGACCTTTGTCCTTGATGCTTCCATCTCCTAGACACACCACCCACCACATCTGATCGCTAACTGGGCCTCATTCACTCTCTTTCCTACATATTGCCCATATCTGTTCAGTTCTCTCCATTTCCCCTGATGATAGACCTTCCACGGGGCCATTTTGGATTAATGGAACATGGTTCTAACTGACCTGCCTGCCTCCAGGTTGCTGCAGCCAGAGTGATCTTTCTGAAGTGAAAATCTGGTCAGAGTCTGGGTCAGGTACCTTTGTGAACCCACAGAGTACTGTGCTTCCTCTACAATAACCCTTTGCACATGGCATCACGATCACCTGCTTATATTGAATGTCCCTGCTGCCAAGTCACTTAAGGCCATGGTGAGACATGTCCAGCCACCCTGTCTTGGGGTGCTTTAACCCGCTACAAGGCATGACCACACAAGGCACTGTCAACAAGAGGGAAGTGGGTTCAGCCATCCATCCACACATTCTCCCTCCCAATGCTGCCTTGGATTAGACACTTCTCTGAGCTAGTAGAGTTCATTTTCCTCTCTTGGACCATGGCTCAGAGTCTGTGATCCTCACTGCTACAAGGTGCTATGGGGGGAGCAGGGAAGGTTTGATGGCACTATCTGATCATGGGGAGAATGCAGAAACCCCTGCAGCCCTAATTTTCTGGGACCAGAGAGCATTCTCCCCCAATCTGTGCTCATCAGAGGACCAAGTCTTTCCTCCAAGGTGAAGCCAACAGCCTTGTGTTTGCACAGTGAGCAGAGTGTGGCCTGATAGCCATGATCCACTGTTATTTGCCTGAGATCAGGCTGGCTGGTGCCACATTATTTTTGTTATCGTGGCAGAATATACATGACCTAACACAGTTTGAACCCTTTTAATTGTTCAGTGGCAGTGGCATTAGCACTTGCACATTTTTCTGCAGCCATCTCCACCATCCATCTCTAGAACTTCTTCATCCCAAACTGGAGCTCCGTAACCATTCGCCTCCCTCCAGCCTCTGTCACTCTGCTTCCTGTCTCTAGAGTTTGACTCCTCTAGGGATCCCATGTCAGTGGAACCAGACAGTATCTATCCTTTTGTGTCTGGCTTATTTCACTTGGCATAATGTCTTCAAGATTCATCCATATTATAGCATGTGTCAGGATTTCATTTCTTTTGGAGACTGAATAATATTTCACTGTATGGATATACCATAATCTCCTTGTCCATCCATCTGTCAGCAGACACGTGGTTTGTTTCTATCTGTTGACTATTATGAATAACACCACTATGAACGTGGATGTACAAATATCTGTTCAAGTCCCTGCTTCCAGTTCTTTCAGGTAGATACCTAGCAATGGAACTGGTGGGTCATATGGTCACTCAGCTTCGTTTTTGGAAGAACCACCATACTGTTTGCTGTAGTGGCTATGCCATTTTACATTTCCAGCAGCCATGCCTAAGGCTTCCAATTTCTATACACCCTTGACAACACTTGTTACTTTCTATCGCTTCAATAGTGGCCATCCCAATACCCATTGGATGAAGTAGTAGCTATTCTTGCCTCGGGATACATCTTAAACCATATCACCTGAATCTCAAACAGCCAGCAGGAAATTTAGACTTCTTTCTTAGGCCCTTACACAAATCATAAGTATGGTGTTGTGTTGAAACATTGGAATGCACACTCTGGTGCTGTGTTTCCCTCTCCTGACCCTTGAAGTTTAACTAAACAGAGACTCAACACTGAGGAATCTGACATTTGTGCCACCAGCGTGTACATCCCATGAAAGGAAGCTACACTGCCATTTCCTGGGAGGGACTTTCTTGGCCTCCTCACCATCTAGTCCCCCCCAACACACACACACACACACACACACACACACAGTTATCTCTTACACCCTCTATTTTCCTTTATACACTTATTGTCACAGTGATTGGACATTGCTGGTGTCCTTATTTGTTTAATGCATCACCCCAACTACACTCTGAGCTCGAGGGAGATTGACCGTGTCTGCTTCATCCTGGGAAGGAGTCAGTGAGTCAGAACCTTTTGTTAAGTAGTCTTTCTTTTAAGACAATTGTTACTTTCTTTGACTCGGTAAAAAGAGTTTGCTTTTATTATTTTGCTTCTTCTACTTTAGGAATTCCTGTCGTGGAAATGCATGTAACAATTCAAACAGAAGCATAGTCCATTGATATTTGAATTAGGCCAGTGTAATGAACTCTCAGAGCGAATACCACATGAACCAAGGGGGGAGTGCAGGACTGGCCATGAAGGAATAAACGTGACCAGTGAGAATGGACTAGGATGGATAAACTGCATCCAGTGACTTTTTCTTCTCCCATTTTAATTAAAACACTCATCACCATGAAAACATTTTTAATGGGAAAGTTTAGCAAAATGTATATGAATTTCCTATCTGTTGAGATGCCATTTTTTCTTGAGAAATATAAATATAAATGTAAAAAAACCTATATACTCTTTTAATGGACAAAAGCATCATCACTTCTTAACAAATATAAAGCTGCACGTGCTGCCCCTCTTGCTCCACAGTATCCTGTACGCGGACATCGTTGGCTTCACCCGGCTGGCCAGTGACTGCTCCCCAGGAGAGCTGGTCCACATGCTGAACGAGCTCTTTGGAAAGTTCGATCAGATTGCAAAGGTGAGTGTTAGTGAGTCCCTTCCACTTGGAGGATTTATAAAATCTTGGTTTACTTTTCCTCTGGCCCCTTATCAACCTTTTGCTTTCTCGGAGTGCACTATTTAGGAACGGTGTTTACACATTCATGGGGTATACTTGCCCTTGCGCCCTAATGAGTCTCGGCCCTTTCTTGGGGATGAGAAGTGTCGTAGCACATAATTAGCATGTTTGCATCTATTTTTAAAACCTGTGCTTACACAGAACTCAGCACCCATATAGTGAATGCGTTCAAGGTGGTAAGATTTAAGATGCACATCCTTCTTCTCTGTGCTGTTCTAAGCTTCTCTTTTTAGACATTTCGATGACAGGAGCTGGAAACGTGAATGCCTCTCAACCAGTTGTCACTCATCCAGTTGTAATTCATGTAGCCAGCACTCCGGAAGAACCCCTAGTATACGACGCCCATTTTCCACCCAAGCCCTTTATTTACTGTTGTCTCATTTATATGCATTAACCCTTGTGCCCCTTGAACAGAAATGCAAGTTCACTATTTGCCATTCATAAGCTGATGGATGGGGATTTTACAGAGGAAATGGCAACAGGTAATCTAAAATCCATACTGCAACTTGCGTATCTGCTGGGATCATTAGGGCTCCTTGTAGGAAGAGCGATAAACATTTTTTTCATCCCTGCCAGCCCTTTACTTCCATCTCATAACACATTACCGGTCAGCCTCATTCTTTCTTGGAAATGTTTCCAGCAAAAAAAATACTTCATTATGCTTATTACAATGAATTATTTATATACGGAAGAGAGAATTGGTCCCAAATTTAGTTCGCTGCAAGAGTCACCTCATATTTAAACCATAGAGAACATTGCATCCAAGCCTCCTTGGGATAAATGTGGCATGTTCGTGTTCACAGAGTCACTTCTGGGTCAGCCTCCCCACGGGAGATGCCTGACAGGCCATGGCTGGGGCCAGGGGGGGAGGTCTCACTGGGGATTTTAGAAAACCAGTGAGAGTGTAGCCTGGCTTTCTTCCTTTACCAAAGCAAAGGAAAAAGTTGAGGTTTTTGGATGCTTATTTTTTAATGTTTATTTATTGTTGAGAGCAAGACAGACAGAGCACGAGCAGGGGAGGGGCAGAGAGAGAGGGAAACACAGAATCCAAAGCAGGCTCCAGGCTCTGAGCTGTCAGCACAGAGCCCAACATGGGGCTCAGACTCACAAACTGTGAGATCATGACCTGAGCAATCGGACACTTACCCCACTGAGCCACCTAGGTGCCCCTAGATACTCATTTTTTAGAGATTGTTTAAAATGTGAATAATATCTTAAAAGTTTGAATTAATAAAGGGTGATTTTTGTCACATTAGACAGAACCGTGCCAGTCTTGGCAGGTGGATAGCATAGCTCCAGTGCTAACATGGCATTCTCCCTCTGTGCAAGTCCCAGTGTCAGTAGATTCCCTTTTTATAAGGACACCGGTCATAGTGAATTAGCGGCCCACCTGACTCCTGTATGACCTGATCGTAATTAATTATATCTGTAATGAGGTCAAGTTCATAGGCATCTGGTGTTAGGACTTCAACATATGAATTTAGGGAAGACAGAATTCTTTGCTCATAAGAGAAGTACGTACTGTGACTTCTTGTTCCTCTCTGATGATTTTAACAAAGGAATGTCCAAGCAGTACGAGCGTACAGCCTAGGATGGCTTGGTCCATCAACTGTTGGTCGCAGAGGGAGCATGTTTTTGGTACCAGTTCATGCTTCATGGTTAAATAACATGGAAGTGGACAGCATCATAAGCAAATGGCTCAACCAACTGAGTGAATTCTGCATAAAGCATATAACTGAACTAAGGAACTCAAAATCATTGGTCATTCACCGTTATTTTTTAAATTGTTCTAACCACTTTATTGAGGTATAATTGGCATACAAAAAACCATACATATTTGCTATATAACATGTAATGAGCTTGGCCAGAAGCATGTGGAACCATCACCACAATCTATGCCATAAACAAATCCACCATATACAAAAGTCTCCTTTTGCCCTCGTTATTTCTGACTGATGATGATGTGATTAAAACAGTTAACATCAGTTCTACCTTCTTGGCACAGTTTTAAGTATACAGCACAGTATTGTTAACTATAGACACTATGCTATATGGCAGATCTCTAGCCCTTCCTCATCTCACGTAACTAAAACTGTGTACCCTGTGACCAACACCACCCAATTTTCTCCTTCCCTTAGGCCTGGCAACCACCATTCTACTCTCTACTTTTGTGAATTTGACTATGCCTCATATAAGTGAGATTGTGCCCTCTCTATCCTCTGGATATCCTAAACGAAGTCAGGCTTATTTCACTTAGCAAACTGAGTTCAACAGCACGTGAAAAAGACTGTACACAATGACGAATTTGGAATTATTCCTGGGATGCAAGGATGGTTCAACACACATATCAATCAACATGAGAGACTACATTGACAGAATGAAGGATAAAAGTTACATGGTCATCTCAATAGTTGCAGAAAAAGGACTTGACAAAATTAAACACCCTTTCATGTTAAAAACTGGGGGCACCTGGGTGGCTCATTTGGGTTAATCATCTGACTCTTGACTTCAGCTCAGGTCATGATCTCATAGTTCATGAGATAGAGCCCTGTGTCAGGCTGTGCATTAGTAGTGTGGAGCCTGCTTGGGATTCTCTCCCTCTCTCTCAGTGCCTCACCAATTCACGTGCATGTTCTCTTTCTCTCAAAATAAATAAACATAAAAAAAAAAACCTCTTAACTAATAACATATAGAGGAAACTTACATCAACACAATAAAGACATATATGAAAGAAATAAAAGGCACCCAAATCAGAAGGGGAGAAGTAAAATTAGCTCTCTTTGCATTATATAACCCTGTGTGTAGAGGACCCTTAAATGTCCACAAAATTTGTTGGAACTTTCAGACAAATTTGGTAAAGTTGCAGGATACAAAATCAGTGTACAAAAATGGGTTCTGTTTCTTTATACAACAGTGAAGTATCTGAGAAGGAAATGAAGAAAATAGTCCCATTTACATTTGTATCAAAGAGAATAAAATACTTAGAAGTAAACTTAGCCAAGGTGAATGACCTGTATGCTGAAAACTATAAAACCTGGACGAAAGAAATCTAAAAAGACACAAATAAATAGAAAGACATTTCATGTTCATGGGTTGGAAGAACTTATATTGTTAAAATGTACTTCCTACCCTGAGCATCTACAGATTCACTGCAATTCCTAAAAATCCCAGGGGCATTTTCTTACAGAAACAGAAAAAACAATCTAAAATTCATATAGAACCACGAAAGACCCCAAATAGCCAAAGCAATTTGAAGTGAGGAGAACAGGGGCGCCTGGGTGGCTTAGTCGGTTAAGCGTCCGACTTTCGCTTAGGTCATGATCTCGCGGTTCGTGGGTTCGAGCCCCGCGTCGGGCTCTGTGCTGACTGCCAGCTCAGAGCCTGGAGCCTGTTTTGGTCTGTGACTCCCTCTCTCTCTGACCCTCCCCTGCTCACCCTGTCTCTCTCTCTCTCTCCTAGAAATAAAATAAAAAAATTAAATTAAATTAAATTAAAAAAAAATGAAGTGAGGAGAACAAAGTTGGAGGCATCACACTTCCTGATTTCAGAATATATTGTGAAGCCACAAAATTCCAAACAGTATGACACTGGCATTAAAAACAGACATACAGACCAATGGAACAGAATCAAGATCCTAGAAATAAATCCAACATATATATATACAATGAACTGATCTTTAAGAAGAATGCCAAAAACTCACTTTCTTTTTTTTTTTTTTTTACAAATAGTTTATTGTCAAATTAGTTTCTACATAACACTCAGTGCTCATCCCCAAAGTGCCCTCCTTCATGCCCATCTCCCCCTCCCCCCCACATCCATCAGTCCTCAGTTTTTGTCAGCATTCAAGAGTCTCTCATGGTTTGCCTCTCTCCCTTTCCCCCACCATTTCCGCCCCTCTTCTCCCCCTTGGTCCTCCGTCAAGTTCCTCCTAATCCTCCTATACGTGCAAACATATGGTATTTGTCCTTCTCTGCCTGACTTATTTCGCTCAGCATAACACCCTCAAGGTCCATCCATGTTGCTACACAGAAATGCTGAGGCATAGGAGCACATGTACCCCAATGTTCATAGCAGCACTCTCCACAATAGCTAAAACATGGAAAGAGCCTAAGTGTCCATCAAAAGAAGAATGGATCAAGAAGATGTGGTTTATCTATACCATGGAATACTACATGGCAATGAGAAACAATGAAATCTGGCCATGTGTAGCAAAAACTCACTTTCATTAAACTTGGTGTTTTCAAGGTTCAGGATATCTATTTAGGAAGTATGAGACAGAAGCTCTGTGAATACTTAATTGTCTACCTTTTTATTACTTAATGATATTTATAATCAGAAATTACCAAGCCCATCATCTATAGCCCCATAGAAAAGAATGAAAACATGCCCTAACTTGTGTACTCTCTATCAGACAAGGCAAGAAATATGAAAAATCTTCAACAAACCTAACACCCACTTAAGAACAAGATGTTATGTTCATTTTATTATTTCAGATTTGTTCAGTTTATACGTAAGCCTGTGTTCATGTTTAGAAAGAAGCAGCATCTGTGTTTGGCATATCTTCATTTTTTGCTTCTTTTTCCTTTCTTTTTCTTTTTTTTCCTTAGGGATGAGTCTATAAAATAACTAGAGAAGTTAGAAATGCATGTAGGGTTAATGCGTATGAATGAAGTTAATCTCAGTATCATAATATAAAAAAAACCGAGCCAAGAAAACTAATGAGTCCAATTTTGTATCAAAATAGTTTAACCTAAGTTCAGAATTAACTTTTAAATTACTTGGCCACGTTGGATGGTACCATATTTTATTGTGGGGATGTTTATCAGAAGCTATATTCTGCAGGTAAGAATCAGCTTCAGCTTTAAAATAAATGAGGAAGGGGGCACCTGGGTGGCTTAGTCGGTTAAGCGTCCGACTTTTCGCTTGGGTCATGATCTCGCGATCGTGGGTTCAAGCCCTGCGTCGGGCTCTGTGCTGACTGCCAGCTCAGAACCTGGAGCCTGTTTCAGAGTCTGTGATTCCCTCTCTCTCTGACCCTCCCCTGCTCACGCTGTCTCTCTCTCTCTCTCTCTCCAAGAAATAAATAAAAACATTAAAAATTTTTTTTTAAATAAATGAGGAGGTGCCTGGGTGTCTCAGTCCATTAAGCATCTGACTTCAGCTCAGGTCATGATTTCGCAGTTTGTGGGTTCGAGCCTCACAAGGGGCTCTGTGCTGACAGATCAGAGCCTGGAGTCTGCTTCGGATTCTGTGTCTCCCTCTTTCTGTCCCTCCTTCACTTGCACTCTGTCTCTCTCTCCCTCAAAAATAAACGTTAAAAGTGTTTTTAAATAAATATAACACAAAACAATAAAATAAAAGAAATAAAGGAGCGCCTGGATGGCTCATTTTGTTAAGCGTCTAACTTCATACTAAGGTCATGATCTCACTGTCTGTGAGTTCGAGCCCCACACCAGGCTCTGTGCTGACAGCTAAGAGCCTGGATCCTACTTCACATTCTATATCTCCCTCTCTCTCTGTCCCTCCTCTGCTCTCTCTCTCTCTCTCTCTGTCTCTCTCTCAACTGAATAAACATTAAAAAAAAAAAGCATGAAAGAAAGAAAACCATGAGCATAGTAGGAAAAGACATGCAATTCTAATTCCAGTCAAGTTCTGGTCATCATTTACTTTGCTTGGAATATTTCATTTCACCGTCAATATTTGGGATGTTTGGACTGAAGAGAATGATCTTATCATTATACTCTTCTGCTGCTGTTACATGTAAATCATTCCAGAGCATTCTCTCTGCTTTTCTCTCCGTCCAAGAAGGAAATGAGGGTGAGGGTGACTCATTTTTGTTGGGTGATGAAGGGAAACCCAACCGCTGGTCACTTCTGTCCCCACAAACCCTGGTCACTGCCACCCCCTGTCAGTAGAACTAGCACCTGATGATAATTTAGAAAATCTAAACCATTATGTCGGCACTAAGTGCAATTCTCTGATCTCTTCTTCCAGGAGAATGAATGCATGAGAATAAAAATTTTGGGAGACTGCTACTACTGTGTGTCCGGACTCCCCATATCTCTCCCAAACCATGCCAAGAATTGTGTGAAAATGGGGCTGGATATGTGTGAAGCCATAAAGTAAGTGTAACGCTTAATAGGACCCTTTGTAACTGTCTAATACTCTCGACTTAGAATTCTCACTCACGACTGTTCTGTTTTTCTAAGTGCACGGTTAGCACTAGCCTTAGATGACAGCAAGACGAAGATAGAAATCTACGTGCAGGGATGGTTTGGGTGGTTTCAGAAGTGATTCTTTTTAACTTAAATATCTACTCTGAACTTAAGGAAGAAGTCTGTGCTTATCATGAGACAAAAAACTTATTTGTTTAAAGGTTTTATTTAAATTCTGGTTATTTAGGGGCGCCTGGGTGGCTCAGTTGGTTAAGCGTGTGACTTCAGCTCAGGTCACAATCTTGTGGTTTGAGTTCGAGCCCCACGTCAAGCTCTGTGCTGACAGCTTGGAGCATGGAGCCTGCACTTCAGATCCTGTGTCTCCCTCTCTCTCTGCACCTCCCCTGCTCACGCTGTGTGTGTGTGTGTGTGTGTGTGTGTGTCTCAAAGATAAATAAACATTTAAAAAGTTTAATAATTTTTTTTTAAAAAACCTCTGGTTAGTTAACATACCGTGTAATACTAGTTTCAGGCATATAACGTAATGATTCAAAACTTTTCTGCAAACAATTTCTGACAAACAGTATGGTGAAACTAGGTTGCCAGGGAGAGCCAGACTGCAGTTAATATAAAAATCCAGTCCAAAATTATTGCATCTAGTCAAAAATGCTCAGTTCTAAAATTTTAATTTCAGTTTATATCCATAGGGTGTGTTTTCATCATAATTTTAGAGAAAATTTACTTACATAGAATAATATTATAGGTGACAAATACCAGATAAAAGTGTAAGGTATAAAGTTAATGTTTTATATTAAAAAGTCCCACAGTGTACTCTCATAATGCCTTTGGTAGAAGCCAGAATATTCTTCTAAATGGTAAAAGCACTTGTTTGTTGTTTATAGGGTTGAAAGATTTTAGTTTATTGGGTTTTTTGATTGCCTATTTTGGTCAAGTGATGCTACCCTATCCTCCACATGTTTTCAGTCTACACAGGACAGGAAGTAAGGTAGATGTTCTATCTCCTTGCCTCAGAGTTAGAGTAAGTGGGGCTTTCAGTGGGGAAGCAACAAGTCAAGCTGTCACGTGTCTGCTGGTCACGTGATGAGGTGGCCCGCAAGGTTTGTGTGTGGCTTTCCCGGGAATAAATACTGAAGCCTACACTGCCTCCATTGAGTGTGGGAAGCCTCAGGCATCCAGATCCCAAGCTCTGACCACTGTGGACGGAAGAGCACTGGGAGGCAGATGAATTAAGTGGGACTGAAGAGAGAAGACGGAAGGCCTAGCCCGTGTGGCCTCTGCTTCCCACCCGGAATACATTGTGTGCGAATAACCTTGTTCTTCCTGCTTCTCCCCATAAGTAACTCGTGTGTCTTCTCCGACACGAAAAATATTTTTACCTTGTTTCCAAGGTAATTAACTAATTCCGACACCATGGGTCTAGACCATGGAAGTGAATCTACTCAGTAAAGCCAATAGGTTTTCTCAAATTTGTAACCCACCCCAGAAAGCAAACTCGGTGTTAGTTTCGAAAACGGGATGAAATGGGTTCTAACGGAGGAAAGCATTTTTTCTGGATTTCTTTTGCCAGTTGATGTGGAAAGACTTTATAAAAGACAAATGTACTTATTGTGTACGTGAGTAATATATTGGTTTGAATGATCCACCCTTTCACTGAAATTTTATTTCTGCTTCTGAATCAACTGTTTCAAGTTCTGCTATTTTTCCCAAACTCCAGCACATTGAAGAGCTTTTTGGAGAAAGAATATTTACATGCTGTCCACTTGCATGTCACCAGTTCATCAGTAATTTTTTTCTGTTATACTTTTTACTGTGGCAAAATATACATAGCATAAATGTTGCCCTTTTACAATTTTACATGTACAATTCAGTGGCCTTAAGCACATTTAAAATGTGGACGACCGTCACCACTGTCTACATCCGGGACTTCATTGTCATGCCAAGCAGAAACCTCATACCCATTAAGCAATGACTCCCGTTCTTCTGTCTTCTCAGCACCGAGCTCCTTTTCTCATTTCTGTCTATGAATTTGCCTTTTCTAGTTATTTCTTATGAGCGGAATCACAATATTTGTTGTTTAGAGTGTGGCTTATTTCACATAGTATCACATTTTCAAGGTTCATCCACGTTGCGGACTGTGTCAGTACTTCATTCCTTTTAATAGTGGAATAAGATCCCACTGTATGTATAGATCGCTTTTGTTCCTCCATCCACCATAGATGTATAAGTCCTATCTCACGTGTCCAGAATCTCAGTGCCGTTAAAAGATTTGAGGAGACTTTCCAGAACTCTTGCTTATAAACTAAATTTAAGCTTCAAATTAGGCAATGGTTGTGTCTCTCTGTGAGCTGCCACTCCTTGACCACGGGCTTCCACGTGGTCTCTCTGTTATAGATCATCTGTGCAGCTCATATGCATTTGACAAAATAATCAGTAATGGGTTATTTTGTTGCATGTCCAATAAAGGGCAGAAAAAGAGAGGGTATCTCAGCAATTGTCAGGAATTCTTTGTTCTTCTAACCTACAAGGGCAAATATTTCTGTTCCCACTTATTGAACCATAAGATGAGGATGAATACAAGAATTCTAATTTTTTACGCTGATGGACAGAAAGGGTACACTTGCACTTGGAATTTTGCTATGTTATCTCAGGTTTTTCGTAGGAATAAGCAACATGGATTGAAGAACATTTGTTTGTATTTTTCCTCCATGTTTGGACCTCCACACCTGGTCAGCACCTCATTCTGTTAGCTAAGGACCATGGGAAAGCTCATTAGCTGTGGTTTGGAATATTCCCAAGGCTTAGAGAGATTTTTTTTCCCCCTGTCATTAAAGTATAAACTGTTTTTAATCAGAAAAGTAGTACGCAGGGCCCTGACTTTATAAGTGACGAAGGTTCCTCTTAAACTGAAAAAATTGTCCACTGTAATTTTTAAGTCTGTTTATTCATTCATTCATTCATTCATTCATTCATTTTGAGGCAGGGGGAAGCATGAGCAGAGGAGGGGCAGAGAGAGAGAATCACAGGCAGTTTCCATGCACAGGGCTTGAACTCAACGAACCATGAGATCATGACCTAAGTGAAAATCAAGAGCCAAATGCTAAACTGACTGAGCCATTGGTCTCAGGCACCCAGATGGTCTACTATTATTGCAAGCTTTAAGCAACTATTTCAGTGTTTTTCTATAGATCACCCAGGTTGCATCCAAATCCATTAAAACATTTGGTCGGTCAATTCATTTGAACCCCTGAACAAACCATTTTTCTAAAAAAGACGTCAAGGACATGGAGATCATTTTAAAGAGTGATACCTTTCATGAGTCAGTTCTATAACAATGACTAATAACCACGGACTGTGTCAGCGAACCTCTTATTCCCTCCCGACTTTTTGCCGACCATAGTTGGTCAACAGAAATGCCATGTGGTTGGAACTGTTCTGTCTCAATAACAGAAAATCTTAAGAACAATGATAGGTTCTACGATAAACTTTTCAGGATCATTATTCCCCAAAGACAGAAACACAGTAAATCCTTCAGAAATGGCCAGCATCGATTATTAAACTTATACCAAGTGTCTATGTTTGTACTACACCTTGAACCCCCTGATGGGTATACAGACCACTCAGCCCAGGTCTCTGTCTTCATGGGGCTGATACTCTGAGAGCAGGTGTGGACACAGGTAGGGAGTTTGGACTGTACTTAGAGAGACTGGAGCACAGAGGTGGGGTTCCCACATCAACTGAGGAGAAAGCGGAAGGCCTTTCCGGATGAGGTCATGCCTAGGCCGCTGATGGAAGAACAGTGCCAGCTGGCCACGTGATACACCTGTGCCTTATCAGGAAAGAGAGGCTCAGGGCAGTGAGGAGCAGAGAGGGACCACCAGGAGCACAGGCCGAGTTTTGGACCATATAGTCCCTAGGCAGCCATTGCTGATGGAGGATGGAGGGATGGGGCGTGGCTCTCCAATGGCATGTTGAGGCTCTGGCCCATCATGTGGATGGAAATGAAGAATTTGTATGAATTGCTAGTACCAAATAGGTTGTGATCGGTTTCGTGAAGAAACAGAACAGGATAATAAGGAAGGAAAAAGGGAAGGGAAGGGAAGAGAGGGGAGGGGAGGGGAGGGGCAGGGACATCATTTTAGATTCTTTTCACAGGAAACCATTTCTTTTTACACTGGATCCATTTCTTACCATTTTTAGCTTGCTCAAATGATGTCATTTTATCATGGAAAGATGATATCCAGGCTACGTCATTTTACGATGCTTATTTACTACAGCCCACACCTGGTGATCTTCTCTCTGCTGGGTTGCAATCAACGTCATTGCTTCCTTCCACATTTCCTCTGGGGCAGTTCTCTCCATGTACAGAGGGACACCTCCCTGTACTTGCAGTAATATTTTAATTGATAAATGTATTTAGCTGGCAGAAATAAACAAGCATTTTTCCATTTGCCGTTAAAAGAAGTTCTTCATTTGTCTCTGTAAATGAGTTGCTCTTAGGGTCCTGAAGTATTTTTCAAATGATTTTTTAAAATTAGCTTCTTTTTAAAAATTTTTTTCATGTGTATTCATTTTTTGAGAGAGAGAGACACACAGGGAGCATGAGCGGGGGAGGGGCAGAGAGAGAGGGAGACACAGAATCTGAAGCAGGCTCCGGGTTCTGAGCTGTCAGCACAGAGCCAGAGGCATGGCTCCAGCTCACAAACCACAACTGTCATGACCTGGCGCTCCCCCCGACTGAGCCACGCAGACACCCCTAAAGTTAGTTTCTTTTTAATGACAACTTACGCACTATTAAAATTTTCAAGGAGTTTTGTTGTTGTTAAAGAATGTGCACAATTGAAGCACTCCAAAGTCATGGTTAGTTTGTTATATTCCTATTCAGGATGAAGTCATTATTAGGCTCATTAAATCAGCCATCTTGTCTCTTATCGGCAGAAAATATGCATTGGAGATGTACGTTTGTGCTAAGTGCCAGAATCCTATATGGCATCTCAGACCATTTCTGACAATAGGAGGCGATGTCACACGAGTCTAGGGTGGAAATTCGGAGCAGGTGTCTGCACGTGACCGGTGCCTGATACATATATTTGTTGAAAAAGTAGAAGCTGCAGCCAAAACGCTCATCAGTGCCGACAGTCTGGCCTGAGGTGTGTGTAGAAGCCACCGCGTGGGAGCTTTTGGTCCAGGGTTGGAGTAGCCAGGAAGAAAAGCCCTTTCTCCTGGCTCAGAGCTGTGACCTTCTGCCCCAGGAAGAAGCCAGGACTGTATTCCCAACAGCCTGAGAAATTCCGAGCAAATAAAAATGCCCTGAAATTGGCCAAGAGTTCCAGGATTCTAGAAGAGGGCGTTCCCGGAAGTGACGTTGCCTTCCTCCTCTACAGGAAAGTGAGGGACGCCACCGGCGTGGACATCAACATGCGCGTCGGAGTGCATTCTGGGAACGTCCTCTGCGGCGTGATTGGTCTGCAGAAGTGGCAGTACGACGTGTGGTCACATGACGTTACGTTGGCCAATCACATGGAAGCTGGCGGGGTCCCTGGGTAAGGCAGGACTGGGTATCTCCTCCCGCCGTCCGCATGGTTAGAAGTCACGCCAGCGAGGGGTTAACAAGGGCCTGACTGCTCAGTGTCTCATGGCTTCTGTTGCCCCTGTGATCCCGTGTTACCCCTGCCCGGTGACCTCTTTTTTTTTTTTTTTTTTACAAAGAGTTTATTGTCAAGTTGGTTTCCATATAACACCCAGTGCTCAACCCCACAAGTGCCCTCCTCCATGCCCATCCCCTCTCCCCCCCACATCCATCAGTCCTCAGTTTGTTCTCAGCATTCAAGAGTCTCTCATGGTTTGCCTCTCTCCCTTTCCCCCACCATTTCCCCCCTTCTTCTCCCCCATGGTCCTCCGTTAAGTTCCTCCTAATCCTCCTATACGTGCAAACATATGATATTTGTCCTTCTCTGCCTGACTTATTTCGCTCAGCATAACACCCTCAAGGTCCATCCATGTTGCTACACATGGCCAGATTTCATTGTTTTTCATTGCCATGTAGTATTCCATTGTATAGGTGAACCACATCTTGATCCATTCATCTGTTGATGGACACTTAGGCTCTTTCCATGTTTTAGCTATTGTGGAGAGTGCTGCTATGGACATTGGGGTATATGTGCTCCTATGCCTCAGCATTTCTGTATCCCTTGGGTAAATTCCTAGCAGTGCTATTGCTGGGTCATAGGGGAGTTCTGTTGTTAGTTTCCTGAGGAACCTCCACACTGTTTTCCAGAGGACCTCTTAACGTTAATCTGATAAACTTGAACTCTCAGGTCGCGCTCAATTCCACCACCCCACGACCCATGGTCAAAGACTCTGGATATCAGATCCTAAATTATTTTTATTTGCAAATTTATAAATAGTCCCCAAAGTGAAAGATGTTTTGTAATGCAGTGCAGATAGGCACTATTTCTCTACGACCCGGACCTCTGAAACCAGTAATACTGAAATGAAGACGCTGTAGCAGCCACCTGTGGCTGGAAGAGCGTATTTCAGACGAGGATTTTAATGCAAGTGCTGTAATTTGGAGAAGGGTGGGAAGCATGGAAATAAGTGATCCATACTTGTGTACAGAGCAGCATACTCTGAAAATATCCTTACACTCAAAACTTCAATGTGATCGACTTCTATTTGCTGTAATTCACCACACTCACCATGCAGGTTTCTGTAAATGCAGAGAAGGTCCAAATGTTAATATCTCACAGAGGCTGTGAGCATCTGTCCAGAGCCCGGTTTAATAAAATGTAAACCTGTGTTACAGTCAATTTTACCAAGAACATACAGCCTTATACAACCTTTCCTTCATGGGGGAAGTTGTGGGGAGGGAGAAGTTATTATTTCTGAAATCAAAAATAAATTAAAAAATCTTCATGTTTATCCATATTTATCTTGATTCTGGTTTTGAAATGGAATTTCAGACGTGTTCACATTTCTTCTGTCACCTTGGAGCACTTGAATGGCGCTTATAAAGTGGAGGAAGGAGATGGGGATATCAGAGACCCATATTTAAAACAGCACCTGGTGAAAACCTACTTTGTAATCAACCCCAAGGTCAGTTCTGTAAAGAGTCTATAATTAGCCTATGACTTCTGTGATTAAAAGGGAAAAGGGCAAATTACTGATACAGGTAAGTGTTTTTAGTCATGAATCAGTTTAATGTTTTACTAGTCTTTGCCTCTAAAATTACTTTAACTGCATATGGCAGTTTAATAATAGAACATGTTTTATAATAAAAAATTAAAACATTATAGAAACCATTGGAAAAAGTGCTTGCTTATCGGATATATTACTGTCTGTATGACAGGTTGTATGTGTTAGTCAATGTATAAGTTAGTCGACGATGCTTCTGAAAGTCCCTCAGTGTGCCCACGCTGGCAATTGGGAAATTACATGAGGAGAAAAGGTTTTTCTCAGGAATTAAGATGATAAAAATCTAATGAGATGAAGTAGGATGAACATAGAAGAAGAAGGAAAGGAAGAAATTTCTGAAAGATTAACCACTCAATGTCATAGATACGTTCATGTAAAGTACGTGTATGTAGAGACATGGTTAACTTGGATGCAATAAAATCCTTCATTACCTGGAAAACTATCCAAGCTACCCAGAGAGTTAGGAGCTGTCTCTTATTGTGTTCACACCAACTGTCAGGCCAGAGCAAGGGCTCGGAGCGCTCATTTCTCGTAGCCCTTCTCAAATTCCTGCCAAATGTGTGTCGCTGCTATTTACAGACTAAGAATCTGAAGCTCCTAGGGGTTATGTAACTTCTCTCAAGTCACACAGCTGGTACATGCAGTATATCAGCAGGAAGCACCTCTGAACTGTCAAAACTAGTAGCACAAAATCAACAAGATCAAGTGTATGGATGTTGACTCGTGGTTGCCTTCCTGAAACTCCAGGTGCGCTTTGGAGACACCCCTCCAGCTAACTTGACAGTTGATTTAGAGACAGACATGTGATAGTCAGGAAGACTTGTGGGGTGATAGGCAGAGGGAGGAATAAAAAAAAAATGTATACAAAGAACATCGTGTTCAGGCAACGAACACTAGAACACGGATGAGTAAGACCGTTTAGCATCGGAAAACAGCCCCAGTCTCTTAACACCTGTCACTTTAGGAAACCACAATCATCAAGAAACAGTTGAAGCAGATCAGCCTATCTTGTTTAAGAATTTACTTTATAAAACTGGAAATGGCTATTATTTTTTCCTAAGTTTAAACTACAGTTATGTTTGCTCTCCGGGGGGGGGGGGGGGGGGGGAATCACTCCGCTCAAGCAGCTTGTGACACTGGGAACCAGTCACAATGAAGGAGTGAGGACGGGCGTCGCAGAGAGTGAGGGGATGATGTGGGAGGAATTCGCTTAGTTGGGGCGAGGGAGCAGGAAGAAGGTCCACCCGTTTGGTCTGCCGTGTGTAATGCTTCGTTTCTCGGCCCAAGGGGGAACGGCGGAGTCCTCACCTCTTCAGACCTCGCCACACCCTCGATGGAGCCAAGATGAGGGCCTCCGTCCGCATGACCCGGTACCTGGAGTCCTGGGGGGCCGCCAAGCCCTTTGCGCACCTGCATCACCGGGACAGCATGACCACGGAGAACGGCAAGATCAGCACCACGGTGAGCTCTCCCCGCGCTCCAGAGCGCAGGCGCGCCAGACCCAACCTAGTTGTCTAGAACAGAACACTGGATATCTCCTGTCAAAATCACTTTGGTCTGTGATGAAACAAGCGTGAGCCCTTCTCGTCCTTGGAGCGACCCCTTACAAACAGCTCTCAAGGTGTGAATGAGTGCCAGGCTCGCCTTGCTTGAGGTTTGAACCAGAGTGATTTTACGTTACAACTTTATACCCCAGGACCAGCTTCCTTACTTGTTATTTAATTCGGTATTAGTAACTAAATACAATTGAACTTTTTTGTGGTGGTATTTTGTTTATTTGTTCGCTCTCAGGAAGTAAGAAAGCCTGGGCGTCCTAATAAAAGAACGGATGAAGGCGTCGCGCCCTTACGGTTTGAATCGCTACATCCAGACCGTCTTTTCGTTGTGGAAATGTTCATGCTGTGCCAGGGGCTGTGAATGTTCTATTGTTGTAGCTCCTTATTTACATAACTCCAACTTCTAACAGATAATAAAGTGCCAAAGCTCCTTGAAACAGGGACACTTTCAATAAGATGGCTGAAATGCAGATAGAAAATAGAAAGACCCACAGGGGGCCAGAAAACTAAATGTGGCGAAGCACTTAGAGTAATCCCAATAGCGTTGTTAGATTTTAAAACGGTCTCTGAGTAAAATTTCACATATCATGGCATTAATTGTAGTAGAGATGCAGTTGAGGCAGAAAAGAAAATGAATTGTTACATAACCCTCATTGACAAGAAGAAACCCCTCAGGTTGTTAGGTGACCGTGAACTTTGCCAGTGTTCACCTGTGCTCCCTATGTCCCAGCAGCTCACAGTAATGACACCCAAACCCCTCAGATCCACATACTTGTTTTGACTTGGTTATATCTTTCGTCTCAACTTCCCCAGTGTTTTTTCCCAACTCACAAGTAAAGCGATCTGACAGAAGGTCACATCCATCCATCAACCGGGGAGACTGCCAGCACAGGTCCAAGAGCAGCTTCCAGTCTGTTGGGAAGAGAGAAACCATGAGTAGGAAATGAGGCAACAGACAAGATCATCTCCGCTGCTGCTGAGATCAATGATGATGAAAATGAAATGGAGCTGTCTTTGGGAAGGAATGGCATAGCTACTCTGGGGAAGTCTCAGAGAAGGAGAGCAGTAAATCAGGGAGGAGGTAGAGAAGATCAATCCACTGGTCCCAGCATAGAAATGAGTTGAAGTCTACCGGGGGTAGAGAGGGGGCCGATGTGGTGGTAGTCTCATCAACAGTAAGGAACGGGGGTCGTCAAGGATGAGATGCACTGAGGTAATTGTGTGTAATCCAGTCTAAGTGTAATGAGAAGTCATCAGAGGATCTTAAGCAAGGGAAGGGCATGGCATAATTAATACTTTAGAGAACTGGAGCAAGAGTTCAGGGCACCAGGGGCAAGTGATGCCCGAAGATATCCTAAGATTTTAGTTGTGGAAGGAATGAGAAGCAAGTTCAGGGTCTAATTTGAACTTAGGGCAAGTGATACTTGGTAACAGAGTGGATGTGCTCCAAAATGAGGATCCATGAGGAAGCTACATGTTTTGGCTGCACACTTGGAAGAATTAGCCGAGATGACCAATACTGAGGGGAAAGCAGGCGATTTTAGATGGAAAAATCAAGACTTTGCTGATGGACATCTTCAAGTCGATGTGCCTTTTAAACATCTCCATCCAATTCCATCCCAAGTTGGGTGTGCAAGTCAGAACACACAGGGAAGCACCAAGCTTGAGAGGGAAAGAAGCCTCCCAGCATTTAGAGCCATTAGAGGGAAAGTATTCCAGGATGGGAGTCTCCAGTTGTCCATGAAAGTCAATGCTTCTGACGCTCTTATGAACAATGATAATAATTTAGATGCTTTTGCTTCACCACTGCATTTGTTATCAGAGCCCATGGCTAATAAGCATACCTCCAGCTGACAGTTAACTATGCACCAGTATTGACTTGCTTGGTTTTCAAGAAATAAGAATCATATATAAATATGAGAACGTGCTTTTCTGTGCTGTTTTGTTTGCTGTTTCTGATGCTATTTTGAGGGGTGTTATTGATGCTGTTGTGGTTGCTTGCTTATCATTCTTTATTGTCCCAAGACTTAAGCATGACTGTCCCCCCACAGGAGAGATTACAGGCTGACTGTAATCTATTGGCATGTGTTCATGAAGACACCTTCCTCAAGAGACAGTTAAAACTGTCTAGTGCTTCTGGCTTTATGTGTAAAAATTCTGACGTTGTGTGTAAAAATTGGAAGATCTCTTGAACAAACACAACTTTGTTAATTGGCTGGTCTCTGCATTTTCAGATACAGAGTCTAGGGACCACGTTAGCAGCAATGTAGGCCATCTTAAGAAAATCCCAGGGCTTTGTTTAGCACAGGAAGCCTATAGGACATTTGCTTGGCTGTGTCCATTACCCACTTTGCGAAAGACCCCATGGTCATTCTTATTAATACATTCCAGAGTCAAACTGTATCATTGCCGGAAGTTCTTTCTTTCTGCATCCCCAGTGCAGAACTCCACTGACTCTTGATTCAACATTGATAGAGCTGGTAAATAATGCATTATTTTACCTTATGTAATAAAACTTGGAGTTCAGCTATTTTTAAAATAATATACTTACCTTTCCCTAGGCTAAATACATTTCCTAATCTAACGCTGTAGATAAAGCAGCAAAGCAAAGTTTCTTTGGAGCCACTTGGAGCAGCTTTGTCTCAACTTTTAATTTCCACCACAAATGTATAAAGGGAGGTCTTCTGGGTTTTTGTAAGTCTACCAGGAGCACGTGGCGGGTCCCCCCACTGATAAGCCCTGACCAGTGTCTTTCACCCAGTCCCTTTTCAGAAACTACTGACACTCATGTGTGGATTTCTTCTTTTTGATCAATGAGTCATGATGTTGCATACTTTGCCGAGGGCACTGTCTCTTAACAGCCCAGCTCAGGGATGACGCTTGACTGTAGATTTCGGGGTAACATTTGTGTTTTCAAGAACTTTTGAATATCTGTCTGACATCAGACTACATTTTCACAGGATTGTAAGCTGTCTGCAGAAACTCTCACAGCAGTTACATGAGGGCCCTTGTTGGAAATCGTGTCTGCAAATATCAGGATGTAAATTTTAAAATTCCAGACAACAGTTCTGATATTTCCAACAGATCTGATCTTCTGTCAGATCACATAAACCAAGAGTTTATAGATGATGCCAATATTCCAAGTATAAACTGAGGCTTTAATCTTTTTCACATTTAAAATTAAGCTCTTCTTTCCACGGGGATAATTGTTTGTTACCTAAATGATGCTCTCCATGATAAAAGAAAAAATAATGTTATACATCATTATCCCAACATCATTCTTTGAAGCATGTGTTTTTTGGAAACTAATAATCTTTTTTTTCCCTCTTTAAATAGGATGTGCCAATGGGTCAGCATAATTTCCAAAATCGTACCTTAAGGTATGGTATTTGTCCCACTTTCTGATGTTAAAGGCTTGGTTTTTTTTCAATATTTCTGAAAGTAATTATCATCAATTAGAGTAACTTTGAAGGCCACTTTTCCAAAAAGAGCAGCTCCTTGTGAAAAGCCCAATTCAATTGCTTTTAGCTTCTAAAAACATAATTATTAGTGTGATGTTACTAGGTTTAAAAGAGGGAATGGTAAATACCTTAGAACTTTAAATTGTTTTCCTTAAAAAATGACTCTTCTTAACATTAATATGGAGTAAAACAACTGGAATTTTTTTAAATGAGTATGTTGCTTAAAATTACTTGTGTGTGTGTGTGTGTGTGTGTGTGTGTGTGTGTGTGTGTGTGTAATCCTGGAGATAAAAGCAAGAGAAGTCCAGCCTTTCTATAGTGAAAAGAAGGCCTGCTTGACCTGCTCAAAGAAAAGAAAAAAAGCTTCACACAAGTGTCCAGTGTCCACAGGTCCCCTGTCACCATCGACCACAGAATCACAGTCACTGACTCTTTTTCACTTTCCTCTGGTTTTGGGGTTCAGTTTTTCACATCAGTGTTCATTGGGGGAGTTAAATATTCCTTATTGAAGTCATTCGGATAGTTCATGAAAAGCCCAAGACTTCAGTCAGCCTTTCTTTTCCCACAGAGAAGTGAGTTTATTCTGTAGAAAGTGGATTGTAGCCAAGTAAAATTAAACACAATTAGATTGTTTCCTGCCACATCCTTGCAAATAGTGACCTTATTCCAGAGTTATCTGTGTGACTTTATCTGTTGGAATGAACTGTAATTTGTATTTGGTGGGAAACTTTGAAATTGTAATATTGAGATATACTACTCAGAGTCTTATGTTGTAAGGATATTGGATTCTTGGGGTTCTGAGGCATTATTAAGTGGCACATGCCATATGAAAGAGAACTCCAGCTAACTTAGAAATATTGCAGACTCCGTAAGATGCCCTCATCAAGCCAGTAAGGCGATAGTGCATCTGCAAGCAACTGTCCACGGAAATTTCTTCAGCGTCTTTTCATTTTAGAGTCAGTATTCCTTCTGTGATCTATGTCGTCCTCCCTGCTGCTCTGCCTCAAGGATCTATTTACTGAAATCAGAGTGGGGAGTCCCCCGTGCAGTGCCAATACGATGTGGGCAGTGGCTTCCGGGACGAGTGCGTCTGGAAGATGTGGATGATAAGCAATCATTTGGAACTGTACCAGGCATACGGAAAATCGAGTTTCATCCCTGCAGCATGACTCCAGCATAGATGCTCTGCCATTACCACTTTAGAAGGGAGGAAATGGAGGCGAAAAGGGTTAGGGGAATGCCCAGAGCCCCGAGGCAGGAAGAGGCGAGGCCCAGATTTGTGACCCCAAACTCTGCATTCCCAACGGCTCTTCTGTCATGCCTGCCTTGCTAGGAGTCTCTTCGTGTTGATTCCACTTTCCTCTGTGTTGGTTGGGTCTTTGGTGGCCCCAGGGCCGCATGGAGAGAGCTCCACTTCCAGATCGGACTCAGCTAGGTGGTCCTCCGAGGTCCTGGCTTCCTGAAGTGGCCTATGTCATAAAAGCTCTCCGAGCCTTCAGCCTGGCTACTGAGTCAGCATCACCTGGTATTGAACATCATCTGAGGTCACACTGTGTCCTTAGATACAGTAGCCACAACGTGGTAGTGGGTCAGGTGGGGAAGGGGCTCAGGAAAAAGAATGGAGGGAAATTGGAAAGCGGGGGGCCCAGTGGCAGGAACACAGACTGGAGAGTCGAAAGTGCCAGAAGTCTGGGGAATAAAGCCTTAGCTGGCAAATGAAGAATTCCCAGTGGTAGAGTCTCAGCCCCAGGGGTATCCTATCATTTACCATAGCAGAGATCACAAAAATCACAGAGACAAGGAAACTACCTGTTAAGAATTATTACCCAGATAACCAGGAAATACAGAGGATGTATAATAATATGCATTTATTGGCTACGTCATGTGCCACCTTCATAGCATTGAGTGCAGTACAGGCATTATGTAAACTAATCCTAAAACAGATTCACAGAGGCAATGCTACTGTTAGCCCCGGGCATAGCATCGAAGGGTGACGTTTTCCTGTGGGCCCTCAAGGTACCTACACTGTTCTTAGATTCCATGAGACTTTGTGATAAAGACAGCCACCAGATCGAAATCAGCAAACTCAAGTCTAAGTACAGTGCTGATCAAATGAAAAATGAAGGTAGCCTGTGGGTAAGGATGAACCAGCCTAGATGATTGCTAAGTTTGCTTGCTCTTTAAAAGAAGAAGGGTAGAAATTAATTTGCCTTCTTCAACAGCTTAGAAACCGGCATGCTAAAACCTCTTCGTTTAGTTTGTTCCTGTCTGGGGGTGGATCACCTCGTGTCATTCTGCTCTTGAAGCAGGGATACCCTGGGCCTGTTTAAAGAAGGCAGGACCCCAGGGCACCAACCTGCCAACAGTGATGGATTGGGAAGGCTCGTCCACCTCATCCGTGGTACTTTCACGAGATTTAATTACAGCTAGCAGTGACGTTGAATACGTAACGCTATTCTTGTCTGTATCTAGAGGCAGTTCTGAAATCAGAGAAGTTAACTGTTCTTCTAGAATAGAAGGTCTATCCAATTAGGTTTTTAACCCGCCAGAGCATAGGGAAGCCAAGTGCTGTCTCCACATTGATGTGAGGATGCTGGGCTCAAGCACAGGCTGGGGCAGGCCAGTTCGGCATGGCTCCCCTGTACTTTCATCTACTCTCCTCAGCAGCTGATTAACTTTTAAAAATAGGGATTGTTTTGGTTTTCTCCTTTATATCGTGTTCATGGTAATGGTCAAATTACCCCTGGAGAACTTGTTCTTTTGGCTCAGTGTATTTACAAGGCAGCTTTTATTATGGCTGAAATTATTTTCTTCTAAGACCAAGTGAATGTCCACAAATATATGTGGGCTTTTCCTGTGAACAGTGCTTTCAAATACTGAGGAAAATTTAAATGCATATAGTAAAGCTTTGATATGCCTCAGAGAAGACTCTACTTCTGCAAATTCTTAAAAACTGACCAAGGGAAACATGAACAAGAAATAGCTTTTTTTTTTTTCAACCAAACCAGATTTTTACAGGGGAATTTCCAAAGCCAGGGTGTTCCATCCTGAAATAAAGTTTACAAAGGCAACAAGTCAAGGGCTAATGCATCTCTTAGGACAGAAAACTCTTTTATTGTAACACCAAGTACATATCTTTCAGAGTCACTTTTTAATGCCTGGTATCATTTCACTGTAAGTGAATAGTGAGTCAACATTTATGTACCAAAAACTCTGGTCAATTGGCTCAGTCGACAGAGTGGCTCTGTGTTAATAGAGAAACGGCTGCTCTTAGACTCTTTCTTCCTTTTTGCCTTTTTTTTATTCAATGGGCAGAATGAAATGGAGGTTTTGGCATCACAGAAAAACGGACTTAGTATTTGGCTTAGTCATAATCTCTATCATATTTTCTTTTTCGTGTAGAACCAAGTCACAAAAGAAAAGATTTGAAGAAGAATTAAATGAAAGGATGATCCAAGCAATTGATGGAATCAATGCACAAAAGTGAGTACTTCTTAATCTTAAATTTTCATACAATTTTAATTTCGAACATATCGTGTGAAAATCATGCCATGTCTTCCAAGAATTTTACCTTCAACTCTAATATCCACATGACAAAGCCACTTTTTTCATTTCACCTCAACTGTCCTTAATAATAGCTTCTTTCAATTAGAAAAATTTTGACTCCTCCCTATGAAATCCTCTCCAAGTAGATTACTGATAAACAACATGAGATGTAAACAGAGAGAGAAGAATTAGAACAAAATATGTTCAGTAAGTAATACTGAATGCCATGCAGGAAAAATCAGAGTTGTGTTATGTGACAGGAGCTACTGAAAATGCATTTATTCCGCTGAAAAAACAGGGAACATGAAAGTACCTGTGTCCTCAGTTGCTGAATAGACATTGTGAGCATTAGAATCTGAATTCATGGCAGCAGTGAGAAGAAGAAGGATTCTTTAGGGGACAAAATGTCATTCAGTCTATGAAGTCTGTGAATGTCTATTCAGTCCATCAATTGATGTTGTAGTTTTATTATTTTTTTTAATGTTTATTTGTTACTGAGACAGAAAGAAACACAGCATGAGTGGGGGAGGGTCAGAGAGAGAGGGACACACAGAATCCGAAGCAGGCTCCAGGCTCCGAGCTGTCAGCACAGAGTCCGATGCGGGGCTCAAACCCACGAATTGTGAGATCATGACCTGAGCCGAAGTTGGACACTCAACCGACTGAGCCACCCAGGTGCCCCGGCTCTTGTAGTTTTAAATGGTCCAGGAGACACAGAGGAAAAAATGTAAAGAAGGGGATACCTTTCACAGCCTGGACATAATAACCGCATTCATTGACCTTGACATTTCCCTTCAGTCAGTGTGTCATGGCTGAATTCCTAGAGGGCAGAAGATGGCTGACAGTATGGTACCGTAGACGCCCCACACAAATTTTTTAATTTAAATTGTAGCAAACACATCAGTAGATCCAAATGAAAAGAATTAATGGAAAAGTTTCCGTCCTTGTGGAAACCTATTTGATTTTTATCCTGCAACTTGACTCATGTAAAGTGTGAATGATTTTCACCTAAACTCTCTGCTTCCAAAATTACATTATCCAGCTTTAAAAAAACGTGTGCCCTTTCTAGATGGTTTCTTAGAAGCATTCGTTTTAGAATATTTACACAGCTTATGAAGGACTCACCTGAGTGTATATGTATGTGTATATAAAGCATGTGTGTAATTGCATAGGTAACAATAAAGTTATCATGATTGGGCTGGAGCTGCAAGTCACATATGCTAGCATGTTCCATTAACACATGTCTAGAGCCCCTCATTGTGCTCCAAATAGAGAAAGCCTCCTCCTGTCATGGAGCACTCAGCGCACACCAGTCATGCTCAGACAAACACTTGGCTCTGCCTGGCACCCACAGCAGGGCAGAAGTCAGCTTCAGGGCCGCCGGGGTGGCTCAGTCGGTGAGCATCTGACTTCAGCTCAGATCATGATCTCATGGTTCGTGGGTTTGAGCCCCGTGTCGGGCTCTGTGCTGACAGCTCAGAGCCTGGAGCCTGCTTCAAATTCTGTGTGTGTGTGTCTCTCTCTCTTTGCACCTCCCCTGCTCACGCTCTTATCTTTCTCTGTCTCTCAATAATTAATACACATAAAAAAATTAAAAAAAAAAAAAGTCAGCTTCAATTCTGCCCCAATTGAAACCTCAACACTTCACGAACTGAGAAACGTGATTGCCTGGACTCTGGCAGCTAAACCCCGGGATGGAGTCTGATGACATGTGATATGGGAAGAACGGTATATTCATTCAACCACAGGAAATAGCACCTACTACTCTGTGACCCACCAGAAGAAAACACAACCTCAGAATTGAAAGAGAACACCTTGTTCCTGGCCAAATTTAGCCCGTTACAGTAATCACAGTAACAGTAGAAAACTCGTGTGTAAAACCAGCGTTGTCAGGTCTTCCTGCAGGACCTCTCCCTTCTTCAACCCCCTTTGGGTCCAGCTTTGAGAGTGTTCCTACAGAAGGAATCATTACATAGTGCAGTCATTGGCTTGGCTTTATTTTGTCGATGTGGCCTTTGGATTGTCTGTTCGTGCTGTATCATTTCGTACTGTATTCAAATACATGTTGAGTGAATACCTCCATGTTTTAATGTAGGTTTATTCTAAGGTAATGTTTCACGTTGGTGTAACTGCTTAGGTTGTAATTTTCCCAACACGTTTCAGAAACAAAATAAGGGGAAATGCCATTCTGTGCTCGAAAGTCAAAACGGAAATGTTGAAATGGAAGCTACTTTGCGTATATTCTTTAATTAGAATCAATCCCATTCTGTCAGGCCTTACTCATTACCTGCTCTTGTTCCTTCATATGATGGCCTTCTGTCTTTGAATCTCCACTTGATGATTCCATAGAGACTTCGGGCTTGATGTACCATTCTGTCATTTTCTGCAGTGGGCATGAAACCGTGATTTATAGGCAGATTTTCATGTATTCATTCATTTACTCATTTGTCAAGCATTTTGTTAAAGGCTAGGCAATGTCAGCACGTGCTTGGATTCAGACACCCAAGACATAAGGCACAATGTCCCCTCTCAAAGACCTAAGAGAGAAATCACCGCACGTGTGCTCAGCGCAGAGGTGTGAGAGATTTGACTTAGCCTGGGAAGACAAGGTGTGGGAAGAAAGCATGATTGGTAGTTCTGCACAGAGGAGACTTGCTGGAAGCTTCTCTCAGGGCCTCAGTGCAGGAAAAGGGAGGCCTCACAGTCGAACGTGCCCAGGCCATTTACTCTAGGGGCATTTTTCTCTAGACCAGGTAGGCTTTCCTGTAAGACTGACTTCAATAAAGGGGCATGCAGTATGGCTATCTTGAGGACGGTTCTGTCACATGGGTTCTCCCAAATTTGTTTTTATTTATTTATTTTTTTTAACATTCATTTATTCTTGAGAGAGAGAGAGAGAGAGAGAGAGAGAGCACAAGGAAGAAAAAGGGGGAGGGAGAGGGAGACGGAGACAAAGAATCCGAAGCAGGCTCCAGGCTCCGAGCTGTCAGCACAGAGCCCGACCCGGGGCTCAAACTCACAAGCTATGAGATCATGACCTGAGCCGAAGTAGGACACTTAACCCACTGGGCCCCCCAGCCCCCTCTTGTTTTTGGCTTTTAAAGCAAAAACAGAAAAAAGGAACGTGAAGAAGTTCTAAGAGGGAAAGACGTTGGGCTTCACAAGGAAATGAGCTTGTGAGTTAATGAGGAGCTGTGCCCCAAGTTGAAATACGTACGGCGGGCAGAGTTGACGCACCAGTGCAGGACAGACAGACCAGAGGGTCTCAGGCCACAGGGCTAAGGCAGGGTGCAGCTCCCCCGCTGAGATCACCTGTCCAGAAGCATTTTTTCAGCCTTCGTTCTGTAGACCGTCTGTCCCCAATGCCAAGGCCTTAATATACCATCCGGGCCGCCGAAGCCTTCAGTTTCAGCGCTGCCTGGAAAGGTGTGTTAGTGCACCTGGGCCACCATGACCGGACACCACAGATGGGGATGGGGGCCTGAACAGCAGATGCTTAGTTCTCACAGTTCCGGAGGCTGGATGGCCATGATCAGGGTGCTGGCATGGTCGGGTTCTGGTGAGAGTTCTCCCCTTGATTTGTAGAAGGTTACCTTCTTGCTGTGTTCACATGGCCTTTACCTGAGGCCGTGCAGAGAAAGAGAGAGAACTCTCTGATGTCTCTTTTTATAAGTATGCTACCTCTTTCCCACCAGGGCTCACCCTTAATACCCCATTGAGTGTTGATTATATTCCACAGAGGCCCCATCTCTGGACACGGCCACGCTGCGGGCTAGGCCTTCAGCACACAAACTGGGGGGAATAATAGAAGCCTCCAGTCATCACAGTAGGAAAGGGGACTTCTCTCTATTTTATAGGGTCCTTTTTGCCATAAGAACCTACATCCCTACGTGCCGGAATAATGCTGGGTAATGATGTACGTGTACTTAGTCCTCTCATTCAAGTCAGGTTCTTGTTCAAGTCAGGATTTTATTCAGAATCAGGATCATGTTCAAGCTCTTTGAGCTGGGCCTAGCACAAAAACAAATAAACAAACAAAAAACCTTGGTCTAAATTAATAGACAGTCACTCAGGACGCTTGGGTGGCTCAGTTGGTTGAGCGGTTGGTTGGGACTTGATTTTGTCCCAGGTCGTGATCTCACAGTCTGTGAGCTCGAGTCCCAGATGGGAGTCTGTGCTGACAGCGTGGAGCCGTTTTGGGATTCTCTCTTTCTCTTTCTCTCTCTGTGTCCCCTCACCCTCTCAAAATAAATAAACTTTAAAAAAAAAAAAAACTTTTTAAAATAAAGAATCGCTGATTATATAGCCCAGGGGTGGGGTTGATTTTCTTCATCCCATAGACCGCCTGGGTCAGGAGCAAGTCAGGACAGGACCCCAGAAGTAAAACAGACATTCTCCATTCCTTCCCCTTTCCCCTCCCCCCGCTTCCTCTCCCTCCCTTTCTTCTCCTTTATTTTCCCTTCTTTACCTCTCTTACAGTTCCAAAAAATAATATTCCAAACATCCAAATCATGTTTATAGATGCCTGAGTTTCCTGCACGCCACTGAAGTGAACTGAGGGCGTCTCAGAGAACCTAGGATGGTAAGGCCTGTAAGATGAATATACTGTCGTTCCTTCCAAGGAAAAGGGCAGAAGAACCCAGCGCTCGTGGCTGACGAAACTCAGTGTTAAGTGTTAGGGACACAGGGACACAGGGCCTGTCTGGAGCACATCCTGTCCAACTGCAGGACACAGGCAGGTAACGGAAACCGACACTGGACATAGAGGCCCTGCTAATTCAGAAGCCGCTTTCAACTTCTCCTTGATAAATTTCACTTCTACTTTATTTCCAATCTGATGTTACCCAGGGGCATTTTGAAATTAGATTTTTCTTTCTCAATAAAGGAAAAAAACTATTTTGAATAAGTTACCTCCATACATTATTCATAGTTTGATATTCATAACAAGTACACGGTTCTGAAAATGAATACGGTTAAAATTTATCTTAGATTTTATTTTCTGCTCCTTTTGCCGTTAACCAACCTTTTATTTCTCCAGCCAGTCTCCTCACACAGGACAATACCATACTTCTGCAGCAGATAACGGTAGTAGGAAATACCTGGAAAAGTCTGTTTCCCTGATAGCTAAAGCTTATACCTTGAACCAAAAGGTATTTTTATGGTTCTCACTTTAAACGGGCATCATTTCTAGAACACCTCACTGACTTCTGTGCCTCGGTGGAAAGTGCGCTGTCCGTAGTGTAGATTTGTGGGTGAGTCAAGCTCACCGCGGTGCACATGTGGTGTGAGGTTCTGGGCACAGGGCTGTCCCGGAAGGCCTGGAGGTGTCCCCCCTCAAATGTGCGGGTCTCCTGGGCTAACCTGTTATTAGCCACAATAGGAAGCATCAGTGTACATCTAGAAACCCTGACCCAAAGTCAGCAGGTGGCTGGACTCGCCGATTATGAGGTAAAGTGCGACCATTGCCTTGGCCTTCTCTTCTGGATCCTCAAATCCCTAGCCCCCCAAATACCTCAGGGAGTCAAAATCCATAGACCAATGGATTGCAGAAGAACCACAGTTAAGAAATTCATGTAAATTGATAATTACTGGAACAGATACAGCATTTTTTGGAAATCTATATAAAACATAATTTCATGCCTAATATCTTCATATATATATATACATATATATATATACTCACTCTCTCTATATATTGATATGTAGGTATAAATGTAGATATATGGTTATATGCACTTGCAGATATATGCATGTTGGTATTATATATACATATATATAATATACACACATATCTACAATGCCTATATACATACGTAACTCGGGTTATTTTTTATTAGAAAGATATTATTTAAGAAAATTAGAAAAGTAGAAATGTATATTCCTCAGAGTAATGACCCAAACCAGTTGGTAATATATTTTGTTGGTACTGATTTCTAGATTTTTTTTCTTGGTACATAGATTTCAATTTTTCCTTACATTCCTGTACTCCTGGATGTAAGAATGTGTATTTTACTATTTCACTCAGCTTCATTTCATTAAATGTGCATTTACTTTATTTCCCAGTGTGTGACTGTACCAGGCAGGCATCGCAAGCCCAGTTTGCTTGGTCTCACACGAAGTGTGGCTATTCAGCCAGTGAGCGAGTAAAACATTTCTAGAGAAAAGTTTTGTCCTGAAGTTCTTTGTCTATTTCAACTGCCTTCTTGTAACCTGTTTCTAAAAGTCAATCCATGCATAAGAACACACGTTTTCATATGATTTTTATTTATTTTTCAACATCTGAGGGATGTATGTATTATCCATGTATTTGCATAGACATAGATATTTGCATCCGTATACTACGTTAGTGGTCTGAATGGATTGCTTAGTGTGTTAGCATTTTTGCCTACTTTTGAAAACCATAGTCAAACAAAACTTTTTACTTTATAGAAATGAAAGACATCACAGTGAAAGTATTTTCAGTAAGTGTGAAAGAAGCAAGATCTTCTCTCCCTGAACTCAGAAGACACTCTAAATAGTTTTGATGCTCTGGTGTATTGCTTGTTATAAGCTAAGAAAAAGGGTACTTCTCCATGAACCAAAATTTTCAGGGGATGCAGCTACCATGTGATTTCAGTAAAACATCAGGGAATAAATGTACTGATGCACTTGAATCCTTTTGATGACCTATTTCTGTAGTTCTTTAATTTGGGGACACAAGTTTCGGTTTGGTATGATGACTGGTTTGTAATGGCTCATTTTCCAAGGAGGGCCACACGTGAAGAGGAGTATTATATATGCACATCCTATTCCTCCTCAATTCTGTATCCAGCGATCTGGCATCATGCACTTTTTTAAAACTCCAGTTTTGGATGATTTACAATAAAGACAGAAGAATGCCCGTTATTTTTTAAAAAGTAGTTTCGGCTCATTGGTTGGAGGGCTAGCTTCATGATGTCTGTGCTTTTTATTTCCAGGCAGTGGCTCAAGTCTGAAGACATTCAGAGAATCTCGCTTCTGTTCTACAATAAAGTACTAGAAAAGGAAGTAAGCTGCTTTTTTCTTTCCCAGTCTTTTTTGTCTGCAATGTGAGTTTTTTTAAAAATCCCTTCATGAAACTGTGCTCATGTTTTCTGCACGAAGCACTGACATTGCCTTAGACTATATCAGACCTTTTACAGCTTTTTCTATGATGTTTCCATGCACGCGTTGTAGGACTGTGAGTCTTGTTACCGAGTCTCTGGCTGGGCACCCCGCTCAGCACTGCTCGTGGCGATGACATCTGCAATAGTCTGATACCGGGCTTAGGGGAGGGGACAGGAGCTAATGACTAGCTTTCTCAATGGCCCTTCTTCTTCTTTTTTTAATGTTTCTTTTTTGAGAGAGAGAGAGAGAGAGAGAGCGAGTAGGGGAGAGGCAGAGAGAGAGGGAGACACAGAATCCAAAGCAGGTCCCAGGCTCTGAGCTGTCAGCACAGAGCCTGACGTGGGGCTCCAACTCATGAACCTCAAGATCACAGTCTGAGCCGAAGTCAGACACTTAAGGGACTGAGCTACCCAGGTGCCCCTCAAGGGCGTATTTTCTTAGAAAAGTTTTTAAAAGAAAACAAAACCCTTCCTGATAAATGTGCAGCTTCTTTACACAAATCATTGTAATTTTTTAACAAAAATACGAGATTTACGTTGAACATCCATTTGGGAGAATTAGAAACACTAAACTTTTAAGTATTTGTTGCATCTAAATACTTTCACTTTGTGACCCCTAAAGTAAGAGCCATGATAGGCTCAAATAAATAAGCAGATATGTGGGCTTTACATGTTAGGCTTAACATGCATTTGCTAAAATGAATTAAGTAATTATTGTCCCAAAAAAACCACCATTCTTCTAGGTCAGTTTTATTGCATTTGCCTTTTATTTTCTGTTGATCAAGAAAAAGAAACAAGTTTGAGATAACTTTTATCATCCTGCTATATAATTACAAGCTTAGTTTGAACAAAAGCTACTATATTAATGTCAATGGTCGCAGCACTAGTATTAAAATTTTGCTGAGAATATTCAGTTCATTGTTTTATGGATATTGAACAGAATATCCAAAATCCATCAGGGTTAGATTTTTTAGTTGTATCTGAACTTTCTTTTGTGTTAGCGGTCAATGAGATCAATTGACTGCTTTTAAGTCAACATACTGACTGCAGACGGCTTACCTAATTGACGTGTGATATAATTCACCATTACTATGGATCATTTTATCCTTGAATAACTTTAACAGATACTGATGGCTACTTATTGTTTAAATGTTAAATGATTCCTGCTTGATTCAAGTCCATTTCCTTTATTAACACCACAAGGAAGTTCTAATTCATAAATGACAGAAAGCCCAGAAGAAGGTAAAAGATAAGGGTGCAAGTGAGTGCATAAATGTAATCACCCTTCTGCAATTATGTGACTGTCGCTTCTTCACCAGCATGTAAATTCTCCTGGCTATTCCGTCACAAAATTCACCCAGAAAATATTCAGGTAAACAGAAGGCGATTATCATTTTAAAACGCAGCTCTTGCTGACATTCCCCCTCTGCACATATTTGTAGAGGCCAACATTGAGGCAAATTGTAGATGCACTGGGATGTAAGCTGCCTTCCTGTCCACCTATCCCCAGCCTGCTCTTCTGGCCAGCAAGATGGGGTCAAAGGCAACAAGACAGAGCAAGAGAAATGTCAGTAGATCACCTAGACGCCCATCATCCTGTGATAAAACCCCACAAGCTCAACCCAAGACATTTGTACTGTAACTTCCCACAACTTGGGCACAGTCTAACCAGATATGGCAAATGCAACCTTCAAGTATTGTCAGGAGGTTTCGAGAGCGTGGGCACAAAAACTGCTATTTCCTTCAGTTTTATGAGAATACCCTCTTGTGAAGCAGTAGAACCGGGTGGTTGAGATCCTGGGTTTGGGCGCCTGTCCACCTGGGTGAAGTCCCAACTTTTGTCACAATCTGTGTCTTCCTGAGAATGTTAGCCAGTCATTCTGGTCCAAAGGCCTTCATCAAAAATAGAGACAGTAATAGTTCATGCCTCAGGCAGTGGTGGGGATGAAATGAGTTGGGGCATGTAAAGCGTTCAGAGTGCCTGCCACACCATCGCGAGGGCGATCTGCAGCAGAGGCCCCTACCGCCATTACGGGTGTGGCACCGGCTGGCCTTTCTCTGCGTGACTCAAGCAGGGGGTCCCAGGCAGACAGCTACCCTGGTCAGTGCATGGTCCCAGGTGTTAGGAAAGCCTTGTGAGCCCGATCATTGTGGGAGAAGAGTCCATCAGCCAGGCGCACACAAGCAAACAGAACAGTCATAGACCTAGAACAGAGCCCACTGACCTTCTCTGTCTTACAGATTTCCCCACCGCCTCTAAGTAGCATTGGGATAAGTAATAAACATAAAGCACTAAAATAAAGAAAATGAGAAAATTGCATTTCCGCAAAAGTCAAGTATACGGATAGTCACCTGCTTTCCCCACACAGCTGTGGACGCGAGGCCCACAATGGGCCCCGAGCACCTGCACGCACATTGGGTGCCGCCAGTTCACTCACGGGTCCCTGTGGTCAGGTAGCCTCATTCCCCGGTGGACGGTGTGTCTCAGAAAAATCCTGGTTTTAGGGAGAAACGCTTTCACAGCTCATTTGGAGGGAGGAAGCGCTCCTTGCCGGTGATGAACGACCGTGTCCTTAGCTTGTTTTTTGCCACGTCCTAACTTGGGAGTGTGATGCATGAAAATAGGTACAGGCAGGCTGCTGGCTGATTGTTTCAGCCCCTCTCGGAGAACATCACTCATGGTTCCCTTCTTGTCCCCTCAGTACCGAGCCACTGCACTGCCGGCGTTCAAGTATTATGTGACCTGCGCGTGTCTTATATTGTTCTGCATCTTCATCGTGCAGATTCTGGTGTTGCCCAAGTAAGTACATGCGGTTCTCCACTGTGGCTCTCCCTGGGTGCTCCTTCCCACGGGGGTCCAGTGGTACCAAAGGGTAAGACGGGATTCAGATTTCCAAACAGGGGGGTTGTGTAACCTGGGGAGGGGGCCGTTAATTCAGTATCTCTGAAGCTAAGTGGCTCCCATGTGTCCTGCTTAGTTACAATACGATTGGATTTTCAAAGTGGACCTGTTGATTCACTATCTATAGAGATTAAAATAATACATTTACCCTTCTTACTTTGATTTCTGTATTGCTCTGGTACCCAGGGTAAAAAATATAGCCCAAGAAACTTTACCCAGAAAGAGATAAATGTCTAGATATTGTTTCTAATAAATAAATATGGTCATTATGTATGAAAAGGATAAAACCCGCTCTGGGCACATCTGCCCATTCTGATTCCGCCTTCTTCGCCCTGAAGTCTACCCTCTGCCACCCTTTCTGATTGTTATAGGTCACCGTCAGCTCACCCCTCCCGGGACACACCCAGGGACAGAGGGAAGAAACTGTGCAAGCCAGATTTCACACTTGCACAGTTTGGGGTGCACTTCTGGTCCCATCTATTGGTGAAAATCCAGTCACTCTGGGATTCTTAGATCGCCTTTCATTCTTACTGAGTGCAATATAAGTCAACCAGCTTTCTTCAAACTGATGGATTCTCCCTCATTCTACAGTCTTAAGAGAACAAAAACTCTTGTCCATTTGTCAATCATTGGGGGATATAGAAACTTTTAAGACAAATCTTCTTCCTGTTACCTCTGTTCTATTAAAGCCAAAGCAACCATTTTCAACCTAGTCAGATCTAGTTGCGTGTTTGCATTTAACCTCAGCAGCATTTGTGGGCAACTTGATTTGCTGAGATTGACCTGCATTTTGCCTCATGAGGATGTGGCGGAAACTAGAGAGAAATGATCTGTCTTTCCCTTCTGGACCCCACAGGACGTTCTTCTGGGCACTAATCCAATACAAAGGCATTTATAGAAGTAATAACAAGTCACAGTATAACTCACACATGGAGGCTCCAAGCTATCTGCCCCCTTTTAGAAGAGGTTCCCGGTAAATTTCCCTTCCCCCCCCCAAATAAATTAGCATCGAAATACATGGGCCAAATGAACTATTCTTCTAGGATTACAAAATCTTACATGTAAGTTCCACATGTCATTATATCCATTTCCCACTCCAAAAAAGGTAACAAATTAAGCTGCTTCTTGGTTCCAGCCTGTGCCACTTGGTACAGGAAAGAATGAACAGAACTTGCACACACAAAACTTACTGACTGATAGAGGGTGTTAAAAAAGTTACATAGGTGAAACAAATATCACCAAGGGAAGTGGGCTCTTATTTTTACTATTAAGTAGAAAAATTCATTTCTTTTTCTACATCTTCCTATTGGCTGAGTATCTTTCTATTTTCTACATCATAAATAAGACAGGGTTTATCACTCGCTGGAAGGAATTGAAAGAGAGGAAAGTGACTAGGATTTTTTTAACCATCCATTTAATTACTATGCAAAATGTTTCTTTTTCATGCTATCCATTTGTTTCTTCTTGATTTTTATTCAAGTGGAATTAACATTCAGTGGTCTGGGAGCCTCAGGTGCACAAGCAAATGATTCAACAATTCGTACCTTACTCCTGACTCGAGGCTCTTCCCGCTAAGTGTACTCAATGCCCTTCCCCTGATTTCCCCTGGCCAGCCACCGGTTTGCTCTTTGTATTTAAGAGTCTATTTTTGTTTGTTTGTCTCTTTTTTCCTTTGTTTTGTCTTTTAAATTCTACATAGGAGTAAAATCATATGGTATTTGTTTTTCTCTGACTTACTTAGCCTCTAGGTTCATCCGTGCTGTGACTAACAGCAAGATCTTGTTATGACTGAATAACATTCCATTGTATACGTACCACATCTTTATCCCATTCATCTACCGATTGACACTGGGGCTGCTGCTGTATCTCGGCTGTTGTAGATAATGCTGCGGTAAACACGGGGCGTGTACATCTTTTCAAATAAGTTTTGTTTTGTTTGAGAAAAAGCAACCCTGGAGCGTTGTTGGTGGGAATGCAAACTGGTGCAGCCACTCTGGCAAACAATAAGGAGGTTCCTCAAACAATTAAAAATAGAACTACCCTGTGATCCAGCAATTCCACTACTAGGATGCCTTAAAAGATGGTGCCAAGGAAACCAGAAACTTCTAAGGACCAAGGGAAGTCATTTGTGGGATTGCGCTTTCCAGAAAACATCAGGGAGATGTCTTCTGTCTCTGCTTTTATTACCTCTCTTCTGTTGTGCTATATCTTTAAGACGACCCAGGGAAGTCCATTGTCTCAGGCATCATCACCAGTTATTAGTGGGTTTCTCTTGAGCAACGAGTTGGGTTTGGAGCCTGAACATTGTGAAATCTGTGCTGGTTGCACTTCCCTTCTTTGCGCTGGCAGTGAGAGAGCTCAGGGTACGTCTGCAGGCTCCTCTGACGGAGAGGGTAGATGCTGGAACTTTCTGTGCTTGTTTCATATTACATTTATATTATGTTTATATTGTATTATAATGTCCCCTTCATTCTTTTCATGCTAATGTCCTCCTGTCTCTTTCTTATTTCTTTTTAAACAATTCTTCTTGTGAAGTATTGCAAAGATACCGAAAAATACAGAGCGTAATATTATAAACATGCATGGACACACAGTCCAAGCGGTACAAATTTGATCCTATGTTATGTTTACCATAGATAAGTTTATATGGCCTTGAAGCATTATGGTTTGGGTATATTTCCTGTAAACAGCAGCTATTTTTATTTTGGTTTTTATTTATTCTATCCTATATTTTTTCTATATTAATGGTATTTGCTTCCATTTGTATTTGATTTTATTACTGATATATGTGAACTCACTTCTACCATCTTACATTTTAATCACATTGCTTTTCTTGATGTACTTCCCCACTTCCTAACTTCTAAAGGATCCATTCATTTTTCTTTGTTCTTTTCTTTTCCTTTACTAGTTAAGATCTCTCTTTCTCTCTCCTTTGTGTGCATATGCATCCTCTCTCTCTCCTCTCCCTCTTTCTTTCTCTCTATATATATATATTACACACATGCATAATTATATATAGCATACATATGTAAAATGTGTGTGCTTGTATAACTATATATGTATATAACTATATAACATATAGTCTTCATTTAATATATTCTGAAGTTAGTCATTGTATCTTCTGTGTAATTATTTCTTAGAGCTTTTGTTCCAGATAATTATACCCAGTATGTATTTAGATTTGCTCTTTTCTTTACCAGCTTATTTGTTCATCAATTTCTTTTTTTTTTTTTTTAGTTTATTTACTTACTTTGAGAGATAAAGAGAGAGCATAAGTGGGGAGGGGCAAAGAGACAGTGAGAGAGATAATCCCAAGCAGGCTCTGCACTATCAGCACAGAAATTAACACAGAGCTTGATTTCACAGACTGTGAGATCAAGACCTGAGCTGAAATCAAGAGTCAGATATTTAACAGACTGATCCACCCAGGCACCCCATCAATGTCTGTTTTAAATTACAGTATAATTAACATGTGTCATAATAGCTTCAGGTGTACAGTATTATCATTCAGCAATTCTATACATTCCTCAGTGCTTATCCGATATACTCTTACTTAAATTTTCTTAAGTGCTTATTTCTTTTGAGAGAGAGGGAGAGAAAGAGCACAAGTGTGGTAAGGGCAGAGAGAGAGGGAGACAAAGAATCCAAAGCAGGCTCAAGGCTCTGAGCTGTCAGCAAAGAGCACGACATGGGGCTCAAACTCACAAACTGAGAGATCATGACCTGAGCTGAAGTAAGATGCTTAACCAGCCGAGCCACCCAGGTGCTCCCTTATCCGATTAAATCCCTTTATTTATTTCACTGTCTATTAAGAAGTTATTTCTTCAAGTTTATTTCCCTTATTGCCAATATAAATCATTTATTACTTGCTGATGTATATCATTATTACTTTTTATTGAGGTCTGTGGGTAGCTATGGCACCTATTTTTTTCTTTATATTAAAATATTTTTACCTATCTTATTTCACATTTGCTCTTCAATGGTAGTTTAACTGGGTATAAAATTCTAAGATAACTCTTATTTTCCCTGAGTATTATGACGATGATAGCACATCAATTTCAGCAGCTGTTGTTGCTAATGAAATGTTTTCTCTCAATCCCATTACATTCTTTTTTAGACAGTTTGTCTTTTCTCCATGGATGCTTCCCCCTCCCCATGCTGGAACTTCAGTATATTACTTCCTAATGTATATTTGTTCTTATAGGTGTGACTTGTAAATCTGAAGATTCATATTTCTACTTAGTTCTTGAAAGTTCTCTAACATTATCACCTATGTATTCCTTCTATCTTTACTGTTTCCTCCTGAAATCTTATTAATTGTATATTGTGCTATTCATTCTGCTTAGCGGGTCTCAGAATTTTTCCTCAGAGTCTACATCTCTTTATTTCTTTGTGCTGCAGTCATTCTGGTGAATTCCTTATCCACATTGAGTGTATAAATTAAGTGATTACTTTATATCTAAGAACTCTGTTCGTTCTTTTTAAAATCTGAATTTCTGTATTTTACCTAAGGATTCCTTTTTTCTTTCTTTATTAATATAATAAAGGCATATTTTATGCAATATATTGCATGAAAATAGCACTTCTTTCATTCTGGTATGATGGTGTATAAATGCATGAATTCTGCTGTGTGGTCTCTCTGTTGACTCATAGTGACATGCCTCCTTGGGTTGTATGTAATATGAGCTGTGAGCTCACCAACATCAAGAGTTTGGGTCCATGGTGATCTCACATACTCTGAGTTGTGAAGGCAGTATTATATTTTTCAGTCTCTCTGTACCAGCTGTCTCTGAGGTTCACCCGTTCAAGTCAAAGCATTTTGTTAAATTAAGGTCAAGGTCCCTTCAACTCATTGTGTATTTGACAAACTCCTTAGCATAGATCTCATTTCAGGATGG